ATGAAGGCAGCAAGATGTAGAGTAGATTGTGGAAATTAAGCTTGTTGTAGTTGGTGGAAGTTGGAGAATTCGCTTTATGGTTTAAAGTGGGAACCCTGAAATATATATGTGCGCAAAACACAAATGCAATGAATTGCCATTAAACACACTTTTTCTCTGCTTTTAGGTGACAAACGTTTTGAGTGCAATAAATGTCAGAAACGTTTCATGCGGAGCGACCACCTCACAAAGCATTACAAAACACACATCAACACAAAGAGCCTGTGAACAATGTCTTTCGTGAGATTTCAAGAACTTCATGGGGGGGTGAAAAAAGAAAAACAAGTGTTCCCTGGGCTTGAGGGATGGGCGGATATGGAAGTAAATCCCCATTCACGTGTACGACGTAGCCCTGGAAATTCACCTGTTAATACCAAGGCCTCGCCCTCATCTTCAGAGAAAGGCTCTCAGGCCGGAAAGTGTGACCCGCACTTAAAACTCATGAAGAACATGGATGCCGGTTGTGTCTTGGTGGTTTCCTCTGATATACAGAGCAGAACAAAGCACCAACAGACACTCCAGCCAAAAAAAGCAAGAAAAGAAGTTACTTCCCCCTTTTATTTACAGTTTTTCTCATTGTTTTAGCTTCACCATCCCCCCCTCACATGAAGTGTAGCAGTTATGGGCAGTGTTTCTTAGCTTTTATTGTGTAAATGTTTGTTTTCATACATACAAACATACATTTGTACATACTATGGACAATTTGAATACAAAAGCGATGCTTTGGACAAACTCTTTGACCCAGTTAAATTATTATTTTCTGTTGCTTTTTATTTTATTTAGAATTTTAAATGGACGCTTGAATTTGGTTTTAATAATATTAGAGGTTTTGGATTTGACATGCTTGTCGATGGTTTGACAATCATGTTGTATATAGAAGAGGGTGAATATCTTCAGACTTGCTACACGTTTAAAGGAATAATTTATTTAAAAAAAGATGTTGTAACGTATGCGGTGTGTGTGTGTGTGTGAGCGCGTATGTGTGTGTGTGTCTGATGAAGATTGCTTATGTCCATCAAAATCCCCCAAAAAAGTACTCATGTTTATTTTTTGATGTAAAGAAGGACTAAAATCTCACAAAGAAGGATGCGATGTGATTGTTTGCAATGTTTTACCATGTTTTTTTCGATTTATTCAAGGTACGTGTAAAGGAAATGAGGAATTTAATGCTTCTTTGCAGTCAGTCATTCCGCTTGAGTTCTCATCCAAGTTTTTGTCCAAGCTCTCTTAAAGAGGCCTTAAGAGGAAAAAGGAAAGGGTGCTTATGTATGTTTGTATATTGATTTTGTTGTATTTGGATGTAAAATGTAGGATAATTGTTACACAAATGTGTATTGGCTGTTGTTGCCAGACATGAAAGATGCGGACTGTGTACAGTGTAAATGAGAAGGAAGAAAACAACAACATTTGTATAGTTTCATTCCTATAATATGTATGTAAGACTAATAGATGACCCTTTTTATTGACTAAAAGTTGCCTTAGTCTGCAGCACCCCATATTTAAAGAGAATTGACTTTTTTTTTTTTTCCAGGGAACTGCGTTTGTAGACCTGCTTTATTTTATTTGTCTAACTTATGAAGTGTTAAGAAATGCCAATTTATGTGCACTGACCAAATTCAGGGTTTTTGCTGAGTGGATAATTAAATTATTTGGTTTATGTGTCTGCGTTTGATTTGACAGAATAAAAATCTATCATTGATAAAAGCCCTATTTAAAGAGCCCTGGCTTTGAGAATCGATATATAGGTAAAAACCCTGTGTTTGTATAAGTTGTGTTGAGGAGCTTAGACCAGAGAACTTGCTATCTTTTTCTACAGTCAGACCACTTCTCCCACTCGCCTAATAAAGCATAACACAAAACGCACTGTTTCTTTGTTTCAAATATTTCAACCTGTTCGTCACATACTTTGATATTGTGACTGACATGAGAAGTAGTATCTGTGGTTCATTTTAGACTCCAATCCTAGAGGGCCGTTTAGTTCCAACCCTGCTTTAACACTCAAACAAGCCTCACTCAATTATTATGATCAGGTTCGTTTAATTAGGGTTGGAACTCAACTGTGCAGAGCTGTGGGTTTCCAGGAACTGAGTATGACACGTGTGCCTTAGTTAAAATTAGCTATTCAAATTTACTCTACAAAGTTATATGTGATCCTTATCATAAGTGTACATTTTTGCAATTCATACATAATCTGAAGCTGCTGTGAGGTTCATTAACATTGGATAAAGCACTTACTGGCCACTTTATTAGGTACACTTGCCTAACTGCTCATTTACGCAAATTTCTAATCTCTTGCAACTCTGCTGCAGTTCAAACCGAGCATCAGAATGGGGACGGAAAGTGATTTTAGTGACTTTGAATGTGGCATGGTTGTTGGTGCCAGACGAGCTGGACTGAGTATTTCAGAAACTGCTGATCTACTGGGGTTTTCACACACAACCATCTCTGGGGTTTACAGAGAATGATCTGAAAAAAAGAGAGAATATCCAGTGAGCGGCAGTTCTGTGGGTGCAAATGCCTTGTTGATGCCAGAGGTCAGAGGAGAATGGCCAGACTGGTTCAACTTGATAGAAATCCAACAGTAACTCAAATAACCACTTGTTACAACTGAGGTCTGCAGAAGAGCAGCTATGAATGCGCAACACGTCAAACCTTGAGGCAGATGGGCTACAGCAGCAGAAGACCACACCGGGTGCCACTCCTGTCAGATAAGAACAGGTAATTGAGGCTACAATTTCCAGAGGCTCACCAAAATAGATTGGAAAAACGTTGCCTGGTCTGATGAGTCTCGATTTCTTCTGCAACATTCGAATGGTAGGGTCAGAATTTGGCATCAACAACATGAAAGCATGAATCCATCTTTCCTAGTATTAACGGTTCAGGCTGGTGGTGTAACGGTGTGCGGCATATTTTCTTGGCACACTTTGGGTCCAGAAGTACCAATTGAGCATAGTGTCAGCACCATACTCTACCTGAGTATTGTTGCTGACGATGTCCATCCCTTTATGACCACAGTGTACCAATCTTCTGATGGCTACTTCCAGCAGGATAACGCGCCATGTCATAGCGCGAATCATCTCAGACTGGTGTCTTGAACATGACAATGAGTTCACTGTACTCAAATGGCCTCCACAGTCACCACATCTCAATCCAATAGAGAACATTTGGGATGTGGTGAAAGGGGAGATTCCCATCATGGATGTGCAGCTGACAAATCTGCAGCAACTGCATGATAATATAATATCTATATGGACCTAAATCTCTGAGGATTACATTCAGTACCTTGTTGAATCTATGCCATGAATGATTATGGCAGTTCTGATGGAAAAAGGGGTCCAACCTACTACTAGTAAGGTGTATCTAATAAAGTGGCTAGTGAGTGTATGTGGCTAGAAATTACTATTTGAAATTCAAAAATTTAAGGGGTAAAAAATCTAAATAGTGTTTAAAGTTAAGATCTTAGCTCTGCATATTTCTAATAAAAAGTTTGATTTATTTACTGTAGGAATTTCATTAATTACTTAATTTTGTAATTGTTTTGGTGTAAAAGAAAAATCACTAATTTTGACTCTGCCAAAAATATACTCGTGCAACAGAAGACGAGAAAACTAAGAGTAGAACTTTTTTTTTTTTTCATTGGCTGAAATAAAATGAGAAATTCACAATGAAAAACTAGATGAAACTAAGTTATTTAGTTCAAATTGTATTTTTTATTATTATTTATCATCTTTAAAATTACAAAGCATTCATTTTATGGAATTTAGGAAATGTCTGTAGGTGACGCTTTTATAGCTAAACACATCAGTCAAAACATGTTTATAAATTAAAGCATCTTTCTAAACAATACTTGTATACTATATAGTTTGTGTTTATATAGTTTGTGTTCAACTACACTACCTGACAAAAGTCTTGTCATCGATCCCAGTTGTGGGAGCAACAAATAATAACTTGACTTCTGGTTGATCATTTGGAAAAGTGGCAGAAGGAGGATTTTCCAATGAATCATCTGTTGAACTGCTTCCCACTTATCACAAATACTGCAATAGACCTATTGAAACTGGTGCTCCAGGATTGGCCAACCCAGTCACCAGAAATGAACATTATTGAGGGTATCTCAATATCATCAATCTTGATGAACTCTGGTAGTCCTGCAAGAACGCTTTCTTTGTCATTCCAAATGAGTTTATTAATAAGTTATTAAAGTCATTGCAGAGATGTATGGATGCAGTCCTCCAAGCTCATGATTGAGTCATACACAATATTAATTCTTTTCCCACTGTGACTGCAGCATGACTTTATTTCCTATACTGTACATTATTTCTGTAAAGTGACCAGACTTTTGTCTGAGCCAAGTCAGACCTTACTGTCCCAATTAAATCATTAAAAATCAAGGCATGTTCATATTTAATTTTGGTATAATAAGTGTAATCTACAGGCATTTGCCTTTCATATAAGCTACTTCTGATACAAAATGGTCAACAAGAAGTCAAGTTATTTGTTGTTCCTAAAACTTGGACATTTGTCAGGCAGAGTATAATATCTTAAATATGAAGTTTTTCTGAATTCCTGTTTGGTTTTGGGTTCACAGTCTGTTCAATTGGTTCTATTTTTTATTACCAAGAGCTTTGCACAAAGGCTGAGGTAAGTGTTAAAAATATGTCAAGCAGCTTACACGGCCAGAAATGTTTCAGGATTGTAATTCTAAAATAAAATAAATAGCAAATTGCTTTTGAGTTACAAAGAACATGACCAATTGCATTTATTTAATTTTGCTAGGAAATGTTCTATGTCTAGATCCCTAGAATACAGAATTTTATTTAAAAATGGCTTTGTATAGTCCCTCTAGGTTCCTTTCAGACTTTCTAGAACATGTGGAGGTTTGTAAGTGCGAGTGTGTCAAACCCCTCCATGTCACTTCTCAGATGAAACCACACAAAGATGAGCAACAATGGCAAACAGTATAATTAGATACCTTTTATTAGACTGACTTGTTTTTATTTTATAGAATACATTGAAAAATTACGAACCACAAAATTCACACGAACATGCAATGAAGTGAAAATGACAACAAGACTAAGAGAGAAATCAAATTACATACAAACATGTCCTAATTATTTATTGTTAAACATTTCCTTTTATGACATAGATCACACTGTTTTACATAGATTTGTTTTGTTTTTGTTCATATGTAAATTCATTTTCTTTTCGGCTTAGTCCCTTTTTTAATCCGAGGTTGCTCCAGCGGAATGAACCGCCAACTTGTCCAGCACGTTTTTTACGCAGCGGACACCCTTCCACCCACTACCCATCTATGGGAAACGTACACACACTCATTCACACTCATACACTAAGGACAACTTGAGCCTACCCAATTCACCTGTACTGCATGTCTGTGGACTGTGGGGGAAAACCGGAGCACCCGGAGGAAACCCACGCAAACGCAGAGAGAACATGCAAACTCCACACCGAAACGCCACCTGACCCAGACGAGGCTTGAACCAGCGACCTTCTTTCCGTGAGGTGAAAGCACTACCTACTGCGCCACCTCATATATAAATCAAAATAGGTAATGAATTTTTTAGAATTAAAATATGTATTGACCTTATTCTGCCATGTGGAAGGGCGATCGTTTTTGCAATTGATCAGCCATCCAACAGTCAACTTGGGATTTAAATCGGTAGAGGAAGTAGTTCCTCAAACATAAAGAGTTTTTATGACCCTATACAGAATTGATAGATTGTATGGCTTGTTTCATTTGCAAACAAGTATCTGCATCTGAAAAGGTGTGTGTGTGTGTGTTATATAGAGAGCTGAGTCTTAGAGTTTTATTTATTTGATAGTTTATTTCACATTTCTTGTTTGTAAAGGCTATACAAATAAAAAGTAAACATGATTTATTGTACTGTTTTTATTTAAGTTTTAAAAATGTATAAGAGCCTGGATTTATTATAGACTTTGCAAATTCCGTTTGCAGACATTTGTGGGTACAGACATCCATTGTGTGTAGTCTTGCCAGTTTTTTCCTGGCTAATATTGTCCATATCGATATCGGAATTATATCGTATCAACCGAAATTAAGAAATATTTCGTGATATGATTTTTTGCCATAATGTCCAGCCCTATCAAAATGTATGCGCATCTTAGCGTTTACGTCAATCGTTGTTTATGCGTACATCCAAAATGTGCATAAAAATAGAAGGATGGAAAAAAGCTATTGTCTTCAATAAAGTCTTCTCTCAGTAAAAACTTTGGTCAGCGTATTTATTTTATGTATTAGAGTCATACAAAGAGTAATACATTGGCGAGCCACCCAAGAACGTTTAAGCAAATACATCAAAATCTAACAGAATCAATATCACTATCACACTTGTAGCACTGGATATATACAAATGTTTTAATAAATTTTAAGAAACACATTAGCATAAAAAATTATCTATGATTTATCTTTTCAAATACCATTTAAAATTTAATAAAAAATTAGGCACCTACTAGTTTTAAATGCATCGGATTAGTCATTATTATATGCATTTCTTTATTTGCAAGTAATCAGATGTTCTTGGTCGCCACAAGAACAAAAACGGCCTCAAAGTCAGACACAGAATTGTTTTGGTCTTCAGCAGGTAGTACATTAAACTCTTGGATAGAGAAGCCAAAACCTTTCAGTGCTTCCTCGATATCATTCTGTTTGAGGCTAAGACAAGAAAAGAGCTGTTCATCCACCTTGTAGAAGGTTTCACTCAGAACACCCACCATGACGAATAGTCCACCGGGACACAGGAGCTTGGTCAACCCATGTAAAGCCTGGCGGTATATCTGCATGTCTTTACAGGCTGCTTCCAAGCACAGAGATGTAATGACACAGTCAGCTGGTTCCAGTGTCAGCGGATCAAACGGATTCTCCAGGCGGACGTCACATTTTAAAACCTTTTTGATTCTTTGCTTCAGCGTAGCCTCTAAATCGGACGGTCTGTCATAATTCAAAGATTGAAACAACATTAATGAACTACAACAAAATAGGCACATACCAATATGATTCATTTAATTTCCCGTGAAATTAAACTTTTTAGATGTTACACAGTTAACAATTTTTGTAAATTACGCAGTATTTAACTGTAATCCGAACTGTATTTTACTGTAGGACAGCTATGCAGTATGTTACTGTATTTTAAAGTTACATTGTTAAAATCACTGTATTTTTATCTGAAGGGTATTTTGACCTCGCTGTTACCGATTTTTGTAAATTACACAGTATTTAACTGTAATATAAACTGTGTTTTACTGTAGGACAGCTATGCAGTATGTTACTGTATTTTAAAGTTACATTGTTAAAATCACTGTATTTTTATCTGAAGGGTATTTTGACCTCGCTGTATTTTACTGTAGCACAGCTACGCAGTATGTTACTGTATTTTAAAGTTGCATTGTTCAAATTACCGTATATTTTACAGTAAAAATATACAATACTGTAAAACATAGAGCTAGATAAATTGTGCTGTAAATGTAAATACAGTATTTTTGCTGTAATACATTTACAGTCAGTTACCGACAAACTGTTGTCAGTAAGTTACTGTAGATTCTATAGGAAATTGTCAACAGTGTAGTATCAGTATTTTTAAGATACCCACAAGCCAGTGAGCTCAAAAACAGTGACAAAAGTTCGCATTTAGAAAATAAAACGTATATAAACATGTAAAGCTTGTAGTTTGTCACTTCCGCCCAAATGGATCAACGGTTTTATTCACGTCACCTCATATTACAGTTTCTCATCACATCATAACCAATCAAATGCTCTCTAGTTTCTGACAGGCCCCAAGGTGCTTCTCATTAGCTTTTCATTTGATGCATTTGAGCTCAAACACTCTTACAGGCAGAGCTGTGATAAAACAAAACTAAACACTATTGGCTGTTTCTAAAAAGTGGTTAAGCTACTCTATGTCCCACCCTCCCATCTAGTTTCCATTGAGGTTACGTCTCACATCGAATAAAACTGCATATTTCAAAGCACAGAGGACCTGGTGCATGGTGCTGGTCCCAAACATGAATCAATCAAGCTGTTGGGTGAAAATTTTTAAACCAATAAAAGAGCTTGACACATTTGACCCAATTTTGGGTGTATTTTACATTGTATTTTAAGATCTTCTTGCTATTCATAAGCGAGTGTTTCTTCCGCTTTACTTACACTGTTAGATATTTATTGCTTTAACTTACTGGCAGCACTGTTGCCACAAAGTTACTGCAACTGTCCCTTTACATTAACTTAACTATAAATGTGTTTTACAGTAGTATTTCATGCAGTTTATTTTACAATAAAATAGCCCTTCTGCATCTTTTTTTTTACAGTATGAAAACTTTAATACTTTTTTTTTACTATAATTAATTTATGTTTTACACAAGCAGTTTAAAATCTTTTTATTTTTAGCATTTTTTAAACTGTTGAATTTAATACATTAAAACAAGTGACTATGTACAACAGTATTTTTATTCTCATACTTTTTTCCACAGATTATTACTTACATATTGTTGAAAATGCATGTAAATGTATATATTTTTGTATGTATATGTATGTTTGTATTTGTATGTAATTGTTTATATGTGCGTATTTTTGTGGTTTCCTTTTCTATACATTTAATGTAGTACTTTTTGAGAAATATGTTGTATAATACTTGTCATGATTGTTATCTCTTCCATTACTGAGTTAATAATGACTGTTGAGTTGACTTTGTGCTCCATATATCAGTTTCTGTATTATTTAGTTATTCAATTGAGTCATGATGTGACTATAGTGTCGAAATGAACTCCAGACGCATATGAACTTTGTTACCCTGTTGAAGACAATTATTGTAGGTCCTGTTTTATTGAATAGCCATGTTAAAGGCTCATGCAGGGGTCATTAATCTCGGTCCTGGAGGGCCGGTGTCCCTGCAGGGTTTAGCTCCAACTTGCCTCAACACCTTGCCTGGTAACACCTTGATTAGCTTGTTCAGGTGTGTTTGATTAGGCTTGGGGCTAAAATCTGCTGGACACCGGCCCTCCAGGAACAAGTTTGGTGACCCCTGGGCTATTGCATTAACTAAAAAAGCACCCTGAAGCACTTTTGATTTTAGTATTTTTATCATTCATTGTTATTATATCCATTTAAATGGTTTACAAAAGTAATTTTCATTCATTAATCTGATTTAAATACATTTTGTGATGCATCATTTCATTGTCTCATTTTTGTCTTCAATTACAGTAGCAGTACTTGATTACTTTGATTACAGTTATACCAGAAATTCCTATGCAGTATGTTACTGTACACGTTTATAAAATGCAGTTAATTGGTATTTTCCTGGCCGTTTTAGCAGTAAATAACTAGTAATATAGTAAAAAAAAATTGCAGCAAAGTTTTTAGTGTTACAAATAAAACATATATATGATTGCAAACTCAATCAAACTTACCTTTTCCCCTCCGTTTTACTAACGTGCTGGAGGATGGGACTCCAATCTAGACACCCTTCTTGGTTTTTTAGCCATTTTTCAATTTCTCTACGATTGTTGTCAGAGAAATCAGACAGAAGAATCTCGTCATAGTGTGCGCAGGCGCTAATGACGCAGTGGATTGATGGTCCGCTCCCCACGTCTATCAACCTTTGCCCTCTGTGTTTCCCTTAACAAACAAAATGTGTATCAGACCTATTTAGCGAAAACAAAACTTTTACACAATGCGCAGTTAGAATGTTTGGGAATGCTTACCAGTTGAAAATAATCTACTGAAGACCCCTAAAACAAAAGTAAGGAAATCCTTTTCGTCGGAGTGTCCTCGAGGGCTGGAGTAGAAATTCCTGACATAAGCACGCGGGTCAAAATGTGCCTGATAGAATTCTCCTTCTGTGAAGTTTGTGCATTCACTCATGATTACAAAGGTTCTGAAGGCTTTAAGACAGCTACTCTCCTTGGGAAACGAGGCTTCCAACTTCTTATCGCCTGACTGAGATTGAAACTGAAACCAAGCTGCTTATTAGTCAGTCATTTCATGCAAATTGACATTTATTTAATTTTAAAGAGTTTCTAAATCGACGCAATGTTCCCATCACAAGCTGACTTAGCTGAGTAACTGAGTTACACGAAGTGCGAACCCTACCCCTCATACTGACGTCACTAGCTTTTTTGAGTTCATTGTCTGACATTGCATGTCTGAGATTTGCAGTCTCAATTTGCAAATCCGTCATTTATTTAACAACATATGTTTTTTAATTAATTACTTCGAATTACTGAATTTAGTCATTATTTACATTTCATTTCATTATCAAAAAATTAAGAAAGCCAACATGACTATGACTTTAATGTATGTACTTTAGTTGATTCTTGAAAGTCTTATACCCTCAAGTTTATATATAATGTTCTATATTTATTTATTTTTCTTTCTTTCTCTCTCTTGTATATTTTGTCATTGACAGTGTAAGTTTTATTCTGTATTGTTAACATACAGTTAAAGTCAGAATTAGTAGCCCCGCTGATAAATTAGACTGCTTTTATATTTTTTCCCCAATTTCTGTTTAACGGAGAGAAGATTTCTTCAAGACATTTCTAAACATAATAGTTTTAGTAACTCATTTCTTATAACTGATTTATTTAATCTTTGTCATGATGACAGTGAATAATATTTGACTAGATATTTTTCAAGACACTTCTATACAGCTTAAAGTGACATTCAAAGGCTTAAATAGGTTAACTAGGTTAGGGTAATTAGGAAAGTTATTGTATAAGGGTGGTTTGTTCTGTAGATTATCAAGAAAAAATATAGCTTAAAGGGGCTAATAATTTTGTCCCTAAAATGGTGATTAAAACCCCATTCGAACCTTGGCTCAGTTGGTGTTTCTGTGTGGAGTTTGCATGTTCTCCCTGCGTTCGCGTAGGTTTACTCTGGGTGCTCCGGTTTCCCCCACAGTCCAAAGACATGCGGTACAGGTGAATTGAGTAAGCTAAATTGTCCGTGGTGTATGAGTGTGTGTGGATGTTTCCCAGAGATGGGTTGCGGCTGGAAGGGCATCCGCTGCGTAAAAACTTGCTGGATAAGTTGGATTAAATAGGGATCTATTTAAAATAGGGATTAATCTAGTCCCCAGATTAATAAAGGGACTAAGCTGACAAGAAAATGAATTAATGAAACAAATTCAAAGAGGGCTAATAATTCTGATTCTGCCAAAAAAAAAAAAAAAAAAAAACTTTTTCTTCATTTAGATCCTTCTACTACAATGGTAGGAAAACATTGTTTCATTGTTTACTTCTTCAAACAAATCAATGTGCTTTTTTATTTCTTAATGAAATTCAATCATTCACAAATGTTACTTTTTAAATTCTTCTGTTTTTTATATATGAGTGGAAAAATCTTGAATCATGTATATACTTAAAACTTGCATACCTTTTTGTGTATTTTTTTCTTTATCTGTATTTTTTGTTGTTGTTTTGCACTACGGCAGTATTTGTTTTGTTTTTAATAAAAAAGAAAAAATACCCCGTAAATCCCTGGGGTATATATAGTTGAAGTCAGAATTATTAGTCCCCCATGAATTTTTTTTTTTTCATTTTTAAATATTTTCCAAATGATGTTAAACAGAGCAAGGAAATTTTCACAGTATTTCTGATAATATTTTTTCTTCTGGTGGAAGTCCTATTTGATTTATTTTGGCTAAAACAAAACAAGCCGATTAATTTTTTAAACTCCATTTTAGGGACAACATTTTTTTTCTTGATCTACAGAACAAATGTGCGAAGGTGTGCGCGCGTCGCGGGGGCACTTTTGACCATTTTGGAAGGGCACTTTCTATCCAAGACTAAAAAGGGCATGTGCACTGCACAGGTTGAGCCCTATGTGTGCACGTGCCTGTTGCAGTGTGATAATAAAATATATATTTTCAGAAAGGTGATGTGTCTGTTTACCAACCAAACTTTTTAGATTATAGAAAAAGTCTATTATTAATAAAATAATGGACAAAACATTTATTTTGCATTAAATATGCAATCGTTACACATTTTTTCCCAAATAAAACCTATCTACATTTTTTTTGTCAAACTGCCAAACAATATTAACTGGCCCTTATTGATTAATTAGGAAATCACACACAATGTTTTGCTGAGGTGATAAACAATTTGTTTATTTTCATAAAAGTTAAACCTGAAGGTGAAAAACAAGATGACAGGGTGGCCATTTATTTTTATTTCAAACAGTCAATGTGCTCCATTATACAATGACAATTGACAGGAAGGACATTTTTGGCTAAAGTTAGCATTTATTCAACACAGGTCGTACCTGCAGCTGGCAAAGTGTTTCCCTATTTAAGCTCTTTGTGTACTGTTTAAAAGCTATATTTGTAATTTCTGAATTTTTTTATATTAATTAATATTTTACTGTGTCAGGACATGTTAAGCTTGAGAACATTCAGTTTTAAACACAATATGAGGAAAAATAGCAAACATGTAGATAGTTACTGTTAGTGTTTTAAGCTTCTCTGAAGAAGGACAAAATGGGCATGGAGATGTCATGAGTACATCAGAGGGATTTACCACATCATGAGAGTGGACAGCAATTTCAAAGACACGTGCAAAACGATTATTAATAATATTAAAACAAAATAAAAGTGATCAAAATGACTTATTTTATCAAATAACTTGATAAAGACAATGAGAATATTAAAAAAATCATTTTAATTGTATCTAATTTACCTATTTTCACTGATGTTGGCTGAGCAGTGTGTGGGACATGGCAAAATCACATCCACTCAATGAAAGAATATGGCAAAAATGGACACAAACATATTTCAAAACAATTATAATTCTACCCGCATGTGTCATCAGAATTTTTACTTATTTCGCATTTTGTTCATATAGGACTGATTCCATCTTGTGGGACATCAAAGGCACTTTATTGTGATAATGATGCTTTAAATATCAAACAATATGCTCAAACAAACATCAAATATCATGATAGTAGCTTTTGTAGAACAAGAGCATTTTTATCAAAGTGATAATTCACTCAGAAATGAAAATTCTGTTATCATTTATTCATTCTCCACTCATTCTAAAACTGATTTTTTTCTTCTTCTGCTGAATATACTGAAGAAGGTTGGGGGAAAACAACCACTGATGTCTAAAGCAGTGGTTCTCAAAGTTTTTCACCAAGTACCACCTCAGAAAAAAATGTCTCTCCATGTACCACCATAATAACCAGTATTTAAGTATTGAAATACAGTGGCGTAGTAGGCAAAAAAGGCAGATTATTTCTTAATTAGAATATTATTGTCATCATCCACGCAAAACATTAAAAATAGTACATTAACAGTCCTGTGCTTACAGATTAAAACAAAAAACAAACAAAAAATGTAACATTTAAATTAAAATGCCACTGTTCTTACAAAGTAAAAAGAAAACTGCTGTATGTCACGTGTTATCTTTTGCGTCAAATGATTAAAAGTGTGTTCACTTTCTTTTATTATTCAGCAATTCCTCCGTGTAACACTAGAAGGAAGCCTGCGTACCACTACTGGTGCATGTACCACAGTTTGAGAACCACTGGTCTATAGTATTTTTATCCTACTATAGATGTCAATAGCTGCTTTTTTCAATCAATCTTCTGAATATCTTCCTTTGTGTTATCATTAGAAAGTCATAAAAGGTAAGAAGCACTAGGGAGCGAGTAAATGGTAAGGAAAGTTACATTTGGTGATGTGCATTTAAGCACAGTAATAAGATCAAAATTAAGTTATTTTGATGCTAAGACAACATTTTAGAGACTTTCATTGGACAGGTTTATCACTTAATGAGTCAAGAGTAATAAACAAGTATTGCATACCACTTAAGTAAAGATGTTTTATAAGCATAATAATTTATTATTTTGCAGTCTGCCTTATTTAATGTTGTAATCCATGACTAAGCTACTAATATTTCAAGAGATGTCATTTTTAAAAACACATACCTAGTTCATGCACTATAAAAATAACATAGTTGCCTTGAAATATTATGTTTAAAATTTCTATAAATTGACTATAAATTATTTGAACTATAAATTAATTGAGTCATTTTAACTTGAAATTACACTGAACTGATTTAAAACTGCTTGTATAACTTTTAACACAAATTTAGCTGAAGCATGAATAATAATCAAGACCACTTGTTCGTATTTTTGATCATGTTATTTTTACAGAGTGGAAATCTTAGTAGGGGCCAACTTAAAATATAGCTTTACTGTTTTAGTTTTTAAAATGCACATATTAATGTGTTATGCTAATGACCGCATGATTCTACATCTTTTAACCCAACCCATACATACAATTAAAGTGACAGATATTGTTCCAAATATGAAATATTCCAAATATTCCAAAATCATACTCAAGTAAAAGTACCATTACTTACCTAAAAATGTAGTGTGAGTAGAGTAAAAGTATCTGTTGTGAATATTGTTCAAAGTATGAGAAAAAGTAGACATTTCCGAAGTGCTCAAGAGTAGTGAGTTTTACGCTTTTAAAAGCTGATACATTTACATGTAAATTGTGCACGTGTGTGTAAACGTAACATTGTGTACTGCATTTAGTTATTGTTCAGCTGGCCCACGTCATAAGACATTAATATTAGGTTAGATTAAGATTGTAATGTTAGGTCATCAAAATTCAATGTCTAGCCAGCATCCAAGGACAAAGTTATTTTGATGTCCAACAATGACGACAAAAGATGTTGATGTTTGGTTGATTTTAGTTTGTGTTAGAAAGTGACCAAAATCCAACGTCAAACCAACCTCTTAAACCAACAGAATATTGACGACAAATACTGACAACTATTTATCAGGTGTTGTAACCAAAATCCAACATCTGACTGACGTCATAGTGGTAACGTCCACACAACGCCAAGCTGTAACATCATTAGATGTAGAGCTGGGTGATATGGCAAAAAATAACTATCATGATAATCTTTTTTTATATCGGTCAATATCGATATTTACCACAATAAACGTAAAATCTTTATATCCATCAATTTTATAGGATTTTCAGCATACCAATCCCTTTGTGCAGCTGATTTAACACATTTTGTGAAATGTCTTAGCTGTCTGAC